TGTAGTGATTTTCAAGTTTTCGTGTTTGGGAAGTATGAAATACCGATTCCCAGACGAGAAATCGCCAGACGCCGTACGAAAACCGATATTCTGTGTTGACCGAAAAAACGAAGACAAGGAATGGTTTACGTCTCTGAAAAATAATGAACAATGAATTGACGATAAGACGACTTTTTGACTCTGTTAGCATTTCTTATTAAGACTTGTGGTATTCCAGTGGAGAGCTCCTGTCCTCAATCTTCAATACATATATTTTGCTTTCTATTTAAAAAAATAAACCGATAATAATTATTAAAAAATTATCATTGAAAATTAGTCTCACTCGCGCTACTTAATAGTGCCAATACCAAAATGGTCTAACTGGGTCGGCATGGGGAATCTGCCCCCAACGAATTTCAAGGCATCGATTTTTTGACATATTTATGAACCAGAAAAATAATTTTGTGGAATATATCAGATCGTAATCTTCATTCCCTGATTTTTATTAATTAAAAATAGTGTTTTTTCAATTTTATTCATTTCTCATTGTAAAAGTCATTTTCCAAATGTGGAAAAATTCTAAAAAATCAAAAACACTTCAAAATTGTAGAAAATTAGTTTTTCATATCTTCTCCTTGCTAAAGTCTATTCAACTGCTCTAAGAAAATTGGAGGTGATTGTACTTGTCTTAAACAAGTGGCTTTATATTATAAAAATAAGAAAATATGTGTCACGATTATACGAAAAGAATTTTCATGGAATTTCAAAAATTCTCTCTGGGTACAACTCTTACATTCCTCACGTTTTTGTGTATAAGATCGTATAACAGTAAACTGCCGGTGACTGTTTCGAAGCTTACCATTCAACACTTACCAATATAAATATAATATCTTACACAACGAAGCCGGCAATTCACTTTTAAAAAAATTATCCATCATTATCTAGCAAATTACAAAATTAAGAAGTTATAGCATTCTCCTTATTTCTTTCCTTTTTTGAACCAGTCAATTTAAAGATATGTACTTGTCGCAGTTTTTTTTTACAAAAACTGTAGTTTTTGTTTTTGGGGATTCTTTCCTCCCTTTTTCGATGGTACGCAAATTAAAAGTAGAATGGTCTAAAATTGGAGACGAAACCAATAACTTGCAGTCGGGAAATTAAAAATCGAAAATTTCAATTTTGAGGTCCCCTGTGAACTCAGTGCATCTCTGTCTCGCGTCCAGATTGGTAGCGGTCGCTCTCGCAGGAATAAATACAGCACGCACAAACCTTTGCGTGAGACAGAGATGCACTGCATTGAACGACGATGTTGCACGCTTCGACAATCTGGGTTCACTTTCTAAAGAAATAATCAACTTATAGAGATCATCTAAAAATCATATAATTCATTATGGAATTCTGAATGACACGATATTAAAATGTCTCGATAACTTTTCAATAGTTTTCGACATATTGGTACCCAAAGCTACGGTGCTGTGTACATAGCTCCACATCTGTGTAATTCACACAACCGTATACGAATCTCTGATCCAACTTAAACCATAATAATGTCCATTCTAAAACTTTCACAAAAGAGATTTTTCGACGGTCTATTTTTTTTATAGAAAAATACTGAAAGTCGTTCTGTTTTTCCAACTATGTTAGACATCGCCAAAAATTCAAATAATATATAAAAAACTAAACCTCTGAGTACCATAGTATTGGCCTAATTGAAAATTCAATAGATGATCATGAATATACGTGTATACACCTTTTACGTAGCGCTTAAAGCGCCATCACACATATGGGATACTGAAAAGATGAAATAATTTTTCGTGGTTGTCCGTTTTACCTCACGTGTCCGTATTACCCTTGTATAACCTGTGTGATAGCGCTTCAAGCGCTACGCAAAAGGTGTATACGGACACGTGCGGTAAAACGGACACAAACCAAAAATGATTTCATCATTTCAGCATTCCTTGTTTGATGGCATTTCAAGCACTACGTAACAGACATATGGAAGAGCACGGTAGTTCGGTGTGTGATGAGGTGGGGCGACACGTACTTGTATAAAGACTCTACCGCGTCTTCTGAATGACCGATATCCACGTGTCTGTGGAATGCCTTTTACTACCGCTAAAGCAGACATTTTCCCACACGGAAATCCTCAACATCTGAGGTCAAATGAACTTTCACCTAGTGTCATCCAGCCCAGTGAGGTATTTAGCATTGAATGGGATAAAAATTCTACCGATAACGAAACACTCCCATGTGGCGCATAAGTGCATAAACACGCCCCGGAAGTCAATAGTATTCTACCCTCATTCACACTTACATACATCGACCTTGAACTAGTTGCACCAAGAAGTAAGGAGTTGAAGGTACGGATGAAATTGCTGAAAGATAACTGTCCCATCAGAATAATATATAGAAAATATTTACAACACATGCCAATTGAATATATTCGTACATTTATATAACAAATTCGAATTTAATTTAAGTTAATAACAATATAAGTTATTATATAAAACAATAGTATAAAAGTAGTAGTAAGTAGTAAGTATAAAACAATATTAAGTTAATACAATATTGTATAGAAATGCCCATTTGTTTATCACGAACTTCTTTATTTAACCTCTTTTTCTCCATCTTAGGCTGCTGGTTTTCACTATAGCTTAGGCATAATGCACGGCAATCACCTCATGTCCATCTCTGCGTTCGCGTTTGCTTCTTGAGGTCATTTCGCGATAAAAACGGAAGACAGGAATAACAGTTATTTATTAAAATGGATGTATGTTTCGATAAAAAAAACCTTTTTTTTTGTAACTCTTCTACATAACTGCAACACTTTTCGAGGTAAGCTCTCCATCGAACACCTAGCTTCGATTCATTTCAAACTTCGAACGAACTTATAAAATATAAAATTCTAATAAATCAAGGAAAATCGATATATTCCACGAAAATCATGGGGGTATTTATCATCAGCGATTTCGCAAGCATAAAGAGCAGTGACCAAATTCAGTGGACCTCATTTACAAATTTGAATATAGAAATGACACATTTATTAGTGATTATTAAGATAAAATCATTTGAATCTTTCATTTGAATCATCGACAACTGTGAATTAATACGAATCATCGAGAAGAATGGGGTCATGGTGCGAGCCTCTAAAGCAGACATTTGGAATTTCTCTTTTTGCACAAGTGCAATGGGTCCTTTATCGAGTGTGCAGTCCCGCTATCTCAGGGATTTGCTCCATACTGCAGACCCTACATTTATATCGTACATGACGGTTCTCTCACCTTGCAATTCTTCGTCATATTCATGATCATTTTCCAAACTCGAATTTCAGCCCACCATAACGCAATAACGCATTAACGCAGCATTTCACGCTATGAAACAACTATATTTCGGAAATTTCATAATAACTTTTCAAATGTTTTTCATTTTTCAACGGATTTCTTGTTGAGTATTCTGTATAATACATAGACAAAAAAGGTTATTCCAAATGTGATTGTAGAATAAATCGCTTTTGAAGAATTCCTCTGCAAAATGAATTTCTTGTTTAATAATGTGTATAAATTAATTTGGATGCTATTCACTGCTCTCTTGCCGAAATCCGACTAAAAACATAATCTGTCAAATATCACTGCTAAATATCGTGCTTCAGAATTAATAGGCTATTTTTCTCAAGTTTTCTTGCCTCAAAACCGAATGTATGGAATTTCGCAGAAAACTCTACGGGCTTTGCACTCATCATTTTTTACGTACGAAAATACAATCGGCTTTAGACAACAAAATGCTATCAGAAAATATCCGATAATTTTGAAGCACTAGCGGTATGAGCACAAAAAAAATTCTGCCTGAGAAATTTTCCACGGATCAGAAGTACTCTAGCATCACTCAAATGGCGGTCATAAATATTAAGAAAAATTAAGATTAAAGCTGATACCATACGTTGCAGCTTAACTGTAAAACCTAATGGTCTGGCGTAAACCAGTATCACAGAATCACGTGCCGATGGTTATAAGATTTATTCACAGCGGCATTTTCATATCTAATGCCAGAAAGTACATGAGCAAAATATTCGACTTATCGTCAAGAGTACAGACGGCACAACTCTTGGGGACCCGCGTGCTTCAGAAGAATAGTCCCTTGAATAAAACTGAAAAACTATCCATGAGAACCTACAATAGTTAATTTTTTTCCCAAGGATGGATTCAAGTCTGGAGGAACAGATCATTTTCGATTACATCATAAAAAAATTTCATCGTTACCTCCGTAACGGAAGACTCCGTGAGCCCTGCGGAGCTAAAAATATTGTTTAGAATGTGGCAGAGAAAAAATTGTCTAGCTGATGACTCGGTTTGTCATGGTTTTTTTTACTTCCGTGTACTTACACAACGATGAACTGTAGGAGCAGTATTTTTATTATTGGTCGACACTGATACCACGATTCATTTACATTAAACAAAATTCGTTAACTGTGAGGAAATGGTGCAGTTTAATATGACCAAACGAATATTTTTTTACAGTTAACGAGTTAGCAGTTGAACTAAACTAAACGATCGGTTGAGTTGACCGAAACCAGTCGATGAAATATCGAAGATGATAAGTGCAGCTGTTTGCCAAAAAGCATAGGGCAATATGAGATAGTATGAACACATTTATATGTAAATATGTTCTCGAACCGTATTTTTCATGACAGTATGTCGAAAGTGAGATTTTACACACAGATAGCTTTCCATCATCCGATGTTCCTGCATTTCAGTCAAAGACACGACTTTTATAAGAACATCTGCTTTGGATGATCATTAACAATATTTGTTCCATGAGAAAAAATAATATATTTGGGTGAAACTTGGTGAAAAAAAAGATTAGTTATATGAAGTATGATGAGTATTGACTTAAAAAAATGATAAATACTCGATACTTATAACAAACGAATCCATGGAAAAAGGTCCAAAGAAATGTAGTTCTTGATGATAAACAGTTGCTCTACGAGTTAATTAAAAAGCAAAAGTTTCAAAAATTTTACTGACCTTTGATGATGGATTCTGCAAGAATGTAGCAATGCCCGCACGTACACGATTCTTAACACCCCTAACTGTTCCCTTGGCACTTCTTATGGCGTCCTTATCGAGTATCTTATATCCGGCAAAATACTCCTCAAGGTGTACTTCCTTTCTCTTTGCCACATCCTCCTGACTCCCTTCAAATTCATTCACGTGAAACTCATAAAATCGATCATCTTCATATACATATTTGCTCCCATTATCCCTCTTATAGTTGGCATAGTGCTCAGCGACAGCATTTTCCATCTCAATCCTACCCTGCTCTCTCTTTCTCTCCTCGTACGTGCATTCCTTAACGACTGGCGAAGTAAACGCCTGCTGATGTCCGTTACCCAACGGGTTCGGACTGCGAACTCTCGGTGTCGAGGAGGACTTTGACAACGAGGAAGTGCCAGATTGTGATGGTGAAGGCACAGATAATTCATCATCGTTTGATGTTTCATGAGCAGTCATATCACGCTTATCGTCATTTTCCTTATCATAATTCTTATTAACCTCCTCATCATTATTATTCAAAAGCATATGTTGAACTCCGTCAGCAGCTCCTTCTAAATCCCTGTTGATAATCTCTTTGCTAATATTCGTCGATGTATCCTTAACATCAATTTCTCCACTGTTGGATGAGTGTCCATTCATTCTAGATGACGATTCCCCACTGTTCAACGAGTCGCAGCTTATGTTGCTCTCGTTGTCATCACTGTCAATCTCAGCCCCACTGCTTGTGAGACTTCCCCGTCGTTTGTGTATTGTAGTTGCACCGAGAAGAACCGTACTCGAGTTCTTCTTCTTAGTCAACGGTGGAGGCGTGCTATCCAGATCACTGCATGTGCCACTGTCGAGAGTATCACTAGGTGAACATTGTCCACTCGACATCATCATCGTGCTAATTCCGCTCTGAAATGATCCGTAATAAAAACACGAACGATTCATCTCGTCTTTCTGCACCATATCGCCGGTTTTCTTTGATTCTAGATCGTCGTTACCTAAAACACTAATTTGCACACTATCAAAACCCTTTTTATTTACGAAATTTCTCTCAATCAGCTGTGTGTCGTTAGTTAAACCGTTATTGAACGCCTCGTTATTTGGATTATATAGAGGATTTTCATCATTTAAAGTATCATCTGGTGAAAATCTAACTGTCGATATAACACGGCTATTCTCAAACTGTGGATTGATCTGTATTTTAACAACATGCGCTGGATAATCGGTTTTGGTGATTTTCGATTGACTGTAGTCGTTTGACAATTTAACATCTGCCGCTGAACGCCATACTGATGCAGATTCGGTTTTGCTAGTGGAACCTGCTACGTATACCGTTGCTCTGGCCTCAGAGGGAGTCTGTGACAAAGTGGGGGCAACGGCCAGGATCGACACAGTCTGACGATTACCCTGGCTCTGATGATGGCTCGAAACTGGCAGTACCGGTGGTACGGTCATCGTACTTGCCTCGGCCATCTGGACATTCGGTTGTTAATGCAAATGAGGTTGTAATTTCAATGGAATTTATTCACTACGAATTTGGTGATCGTTGGGTGTGGTTGTTGATTCACGTTCCTTAGTTATCTTGAGTTTACGCTTTTTATTTTTGTTGCTACTGTTCACTCGTGTAATGAATTTCTCGCACTGGGAAGTATGATGTCTTGAAGCATACGCTTTCGCCACTTGCTTAGGAACATTCCTACGGGTACGTCAAGCTGCTCATTTATTCGTCTCTGCGTTCCTCCATCGATAATTAGTCCACAGGCTGAGTCGACCACGATATTAATCACATTGATGAAAATGTCTTTAAATATCAAGATTGGACAAGATATTGGGTACTTTTCAAAATTGAATAACATAGAAATTCAATTGGAGGGAAAAACTTAATTTTACTGCAAATAAAATAAGTTTATAACATCTGGAAACAATAATGAATAAGCTACTCCTGGATATTGCTGTCTTTATCTTCTTAAACCCCCGGTGTATATCATTTTCGTCAGTTTTCGAAAAAATAGACGTGTTTCTAATTACATCATTGCTGCTCCAATATCAGGTATTCTCGATGATTGGAAATTCTCACTTGTTTGCGATGCAGCAATGTTGTATATGCAAGAAGGGCGTTTCACTGCATCCCTTGGTTCCTATTACTACACCAAGAAAAAAGTCCAAAGGGCGTGGATAAAGTAATGTTTATACTCAAGCATTCATAGTAAGGCGAGGAGTGATGCTTAACATAAAAAAAAACTCAATGTTATTGAAGAGTTCAACGAAACAACTGGGTAATAACAATCAACAAAAATTTTTAGAGTGAGAAGCGTTCAACTTGTCTACTTCAACTCAGTACAGAACAAGTTTCTCCACCGGTATGGGACTAGTTCAGCCACTCAAAATACACCTGTCGTGAGACAGGTTTGTGAGGCCGGTAGAAGTCACTGATTGGTGAAACCCGAAATTACAATATAGAACAGGCTTTTATTCACTACTATTTAAATCCAATGTGGACGAAATAGGTCATCACAACTTGTTTGATTTTTTTTTTCTTGCACAGCGATTTTAACGATTATAGTGTCCGAGAGTTTACGGATATAATTGGAAATTCCATATCGTCGTATCAAACGTGTTGAAGACGGTAACTGTACTGAGAATACCGGAGTCAGCAGTCTCTTGCCGTACACAATTCCACCACTAGCGTGACGATAAGGTGGTCTGAGTGGGGCCTGAATACGGAGTCTAGCGGGGATTAAATGGGTCTTAGGAGAATGTAAGTGTGTAGGTTAAGAACGGTGCTGCTTTGCGAGGACATGGAGGCGGCCTCTGCCAATAATCGAACAAAGTACCAACTGATCTTAAATTTACCTTGTCGTATCACTTGTGGAGTCCGTTGATCGCTAGGAAATTACCTACCATCTGAACGCTGTTTGATCATCAGATTGATCAACAATCATCAATTAAGTAGAGGTCGGGTGTGCTGTATTGATTGCTAAAACTGGATTGTTCCCTCTATTTTTAAAAGAAGGGCAAAATTTTTTGTCATTTGAGAATTTGTTTTGCAATTTGATCATTAAAAGAAGTAATTGCTGCGAATAATTCTGTGTACGCATAATTTTTTACGGTATGTGATTATGTTTGGCTTCCGAAGTCAATACATAGCCAATACACAGTCTTTCTCAACATATTCATATTTGATTACTACTTAAGTACTTCAGTAGAAGACGCATCTGCGTTACAGTTTCAGGGTCACGAGAGTAACAAGCCAAGAGAATGTAAGGGCCATGAGTCGGAAGGGTCATTGGTTGATTGCGACGGGTTAGTTGAATCTAGCGATCCAGTAAGCCCGGACTCTTTCTGTATCCGCCATATAATTCACATATACTTTAATTACCTATCGAAATATTAATTTTCATGTATGTCACATATATATGACGTATATAGCAACATATGCATCTTATAAATAAAGATTTGTATACTTAAAAAATTACAGAATATACAGTTTTTACACTGAATAAATAATTTGCATAAATGACGAATATAGATATTTTAGAAATATGGATCATACTTCGAACAAATAATTGACATCAGCTATCTATTCCATCTATTCGACAGATACTTCGAATACATTTTTGGCCGAAATATATGTAGTATGACTTGCATATATCTGATATATATTTGAGCATGCATTTTTTTTCCGTGCGGGATGTCTAATTAACATCCTGTTAGTGTTAATCCTCAATTATAATTCATGAGGTGGCAAACATGAAAAACTTAATATCTCCAGATATTGTGGCAGAATTGCTTCAGTCATGACATGCATGCCTCCATTGTTACAATTTATATCGTATTGATAGTGCAGCGAATTTTCTTTGTTGAATTGTCCATCAATTCAACGACTCCTTAATTGACATCAGCAACACAAATATTTCTTACTGATAACATTGTCCATTTCATTAATTTATCAAATTCTTTCATCTTAAAAACTTTACCATATAAATCTCCTGTGACATCTGCATCTGGAGGTGCTATACACTTATCTGCTATGTATATCTCGCAGTTATTCATATTCAATGATCCATCCCCAACAGATAGTAGAGATTGAGCAAAGTCAGTTTTTTTTCGTAAGGCACGCAGAGTGTCTGTCAGAGTGAACTTGGAAAAGATGGGCTACAGGTGACTAAAGTCGATTATTTATCGACAAATAGAGGGTGTGTCCTATCGGATAAAAAATGGTATTGGAAAGCATTGTTGTAATGAGTAATTATCATCATTTTTCTTTTTTGCTGCTGTGTAGTGCCGAGTCAGTTCCTTTGTCTGTCAGATCAGACACTTTGGATTTAAATTTGATTACCTCTTCAAACTGAAAAAATCTTCTATGATTATCATCCTGTTGAATTCCGATTTCTCTGTAATGAAGACAAAAACTATGACAGCTGTTGACGGTGATATTGCCTAGTCAGTCACCCGAAAACGAAGAAGATAGAATCCGATGTGTCTATTGAGCCTTTGAAGCAGAAGACTCGTATCGATCTACTGCAGAACATTATCGAAATGCAACCTTACCTCATCAGACGCTCAATGCACTCCATTTTGTTGAGAAGATAGTGCCTATAAAAAAAATGGGACTGTAAAGAAACCACTACATTTATTAAGAAGACTTTTTTTAGATGAAACGGCATTCACGGCCAGCGTGGAGTTCCAGCCATTTGAGCGACTTCCTCTTCAGCTACTGATGGTGCTGGTGGTACTTGTACTGGAACTGGTGGTGTTGGTGTTACTAATGGTGGTGTTGATAGTGCTAGTCCTGGTGGTTGTGTTCGTGATGCTGGCGGTGATGTTCGTGATGCTGGCGATGGTGTGCGTGGTACTCTGCTCTGTCCGCCTCAGCTTGGATCCTCTCAGCCTCTGCACTCAGTGCCGCGATTCTTCTTTTCCTTGCATCCACTGCAATGGTTCCTAAAACCAACTCAGTCGGCCGGTGTGGCATTAGCGGAGCCATGAATGGGCGAGGTGGGCTCGGGAAATAGCAACCAGAAGTGGAGCTTTGATGTTGCAAAAGGAAATGGGAAACCTGCGAAACCAGAGAGGATTGGCGGGATACGACAGGTGTCGATGGAATGGAATGGGTGGGATGAAGTGGATTGGGGTGCGGTTCGTCGAAGGTAGCATTAAGGGTCTGAATATCCTCAGTCATTGTGGATAAGAGACGTGCTGTCAGGACAGGACGTCCGTGTGCTCCTCGTTCTGCTGCTAGTCCTGCTGCTAGTCCTGCTGCTAGTCCTGCTCCGCGTCCAGCTGGTTTTACTGGTCCTGCAGGTCCTCCTGGTCCTGCTCCTCGTCCTCTCTGTCCGGCTCCACGTCCTCCTCCTTGGCAAGCTCCTCGTCTTCGTCTTTGTCCTGCTCCTCGTTCTAGTTAAGCATTAAAAGAGGGTGCTTTTAGTTGCTGACATTTAACTCTTTGCAAAAAAGTATAACAATGAAGGCGAATCATTTATATCGTCTCAATATTATAAGTGTACAATACTAGTACGTCATACTGGTATGGTACCCGTACGGTGTACTGATATCATACCCATCGCATCAGTGTTATAATAGTACATGGGGGAGGGAGTTGTGGGAAGAGGAATGGAACTCGATGAAAGGCCAGTCGGTAAGAAAGAGTTGTTATCGTGGAATAATTGTGCGTGCGACCCTTCACTAGAGATTAACTGAGGAGTAGGTAGGAAAATGGTCGTCCCTGCAAGAGGAGCATTTCCTGCATGTTGCGAGGGAAAATCGTCCCGAAAATTAAAAGACATTGTAAAGAATTACGAGACAAAAGGTTCAAGCGTAATTAATTATGAGAAACTTATACCAAATATTGCTCAGATCCATTCGCACAACTATGAGAGTCCGTCCACAATTGATACGAATCCTTCTCATCTGAATTCTCTAAATTTTCAGTGCTATGGGAGAGTACACCATTCATATTACCCAAATTGTATGTAGCTGACTGCGTATACAAAACTTCTCCATTTTCAAACTATAATCATTTCCACAAATTACATAAGCTGATCAAATTAATTCTGATGAAGGGTGGAAATATTTTATTTAATTCAATTTTGAGCATGCATAAGTTTGGAAATTCTCACGGAATTTTATCTGGACTGTAATTTCTGTCCCTACTGTCAATATTTAAGTCAAATGGAGAAATTCATGAAATAAAATTGGGATTCATTTCAATGGCAGTTAATATTCATGGCAAAAACCTTAATTTGTTTCAATGAAGAAGATGACGTTAGTTCTAAGATACATGACTTTAACTTAACGAAGTGTAGATGAGATAATCTTTTTTTGTTCTGGAAAATAGAATTTTTCTATGATGCGACGAGTGCGGACTATAATTCCGATTGATGATTTGTGTTATTATGATACATATTTGGAAATAATCAATATTCTACCTCACCATATAATGGCATAAAAAATTAGTCATTCATTGGTTATTAGAGGTATCTGTAATTATAACACTTGATTTTATCCAATAAGTGATATAATACTCGTCTCGACAAACAGAATATCCTTGGAAACTAAATACAATGGAAGGGTTGGAAACAGAGAACACTGAAGTTCAAATTATTTTTCTAACACGCACAATAATTTAATACATAAAAGAAAATGGAATAGAAAAAATATTTGTTTCAATTACTTACCTAGTAATTATTTCATTAAGACTGATTATCTGACAGGCTGTAACACACATCCTCACTCTATGCTCACTAAACTGGCGACGATCCGTCGTGGGGAAACTTCTCACCCGAAATTAAATAAAAGCCCATCGCTTTAATTCTAGGAACAGCGATGGTTTCGGGCAATATTTAGGAAAAGGCGAGTGTGTCTTTTCTTTACGATTCAACATCGCAGTTTCCGTTGTCGTTATAAACACAGGAGAAAAACACCATTCGAAAACCGTGAAATTAACTTTGTGCAAACGTTCTTTTTGGATCCACCCATGCAACTTTGAGGAAACTGAATTTTATGCAAGATAAATTGAAATTTACTATGGTAAAGAGTACAAAAAATAATGGTATATTGCAAAACCTCATTGATATTCTAGTACTTATTTGGGTTATTGATAGATAAATTTGAAAAAAAAGCTTAATACAATGCATAATATTGGAATTTACTGTGATAAACAGAAAAATGTTGAAAATCACCCAATAAAATAAAGATGAGACAATTTTAGGATGTTCCTAACTTCCTAAATTCAAGTATGGTTCAGCACTGCACTGCTAACATAGCAGTTTTTCCTTCAAATTTCTTTCCGTGTAAAGAATGTGAAAATAATTCTGCTATTATTGCTTTCGAATGGAAAAAATGGACGGAATTTTCAAAATTTGAGCTAATAATTTCGACAGTCTCCAAGTATGATAAGTATGGTGAAACCCCAGATTGAGACGGTAAGTGCGACGATGAATATAAAATAGTGTTTTTCACGTCTCGAATTATAACGCGCATGAGTCAAAATCACTTTTTTCGCCGAGACAATGATGCTATTTCATGTAATTGTGGCCGAAAATGGGTTGTTATCCGAGCGAAGCGAGAGTAAAAACCCGTTTTACCGGCCGCGATATTTTGTATCGGTGAGGTTGAAAATGCGTTTTTATCCGTTTACTTAATAAATAAAATTTAAATAATAATCAGGAAATTTGGAAAATTTTTAACTATTTGGGAAACTTGGTTCTACCATGGGAGATAACCAATTATTTCACCCAAAATTTGTCACCTTCCATACTTTCCGCGATGTTCTCCAAGTTCTTATATTTCGAGATTATTTCGATTGAATTCCTTTCGGAAAATGTTGGAAAAATGTCACTAAGAGTCATATTTAAATGACTCGGAATATTCTCAGACTTAAAAATTTGATGTCGCTTAAAAAAGTTTTTTTTATATTCATCGTCGCAATTGCCGTCTGAATCTGGGGGTTTACCAGAGATTGAGAACACGTAAATGGCGGGACAGAGAACGTAAGTTATGGGGTCAGACTTCGTATTTTACGACGTAAAACTCGTAATTTACGGGGCTGAAACTCGTAATTCATCAAATGGGTAATCGTAATTTACGGGATTGATCCCGTAACTTATGAGGTAAAAAATTGTTATTTACTATTAAATGCTAAAACAAAAATTCAGCGCGAAGTTGTCAGATTTTACATTTATTGTATTGCATTACAGAGCTAGTGACGATATATATATATTTATTCTTAAGTAAATGTCAATATCGCTTATTGCTCTTGTGAAATTTTTCATCCTACAGCTTAACGGATCATTGGAGAAGACAGAGGTGGAAAATGAGTTACGTGAGAATGTTGTTATTTATTTAAACACTTAATTTATGACGGTAATTCGGTTTCTCTTGATAGGAACCATACATTCATAGGCTCACTCTTCCCCTTCATAGTAACGGGCCCTCGGTACTCCAACAGGAATTGCGGGTCCTGATTCTCAGGCATGCATAAGTATCTGAAACATTGAGACAGTTTTTAATGATCATTCACATTCAGGGAGATCCAATTTTCTTTCATCATTGTTCTTCCTTTCTTTCCATTGATTCTGTCCAGTTGAATTTATTTCCATGATAAGTATTAAATTATTGGTTATTAATCTTAAAATTTGTCTTCCATGATTCAATGTCAGTACAGCAGCTAATTTTTATTCTAGCAACTACCTTACTCAGAAGAAGTTAGAAAATCACTGTGACTAAGCATTTTACCCAAAGTTTTACAAAAACATTTGAAATGTAAAAATGTTATTATTTACAGGTTTGTAAAAATACTGACTATTCATAAGCTGAGAGATTTTTCAAAAGTACACACAGAAACACTATATTCAAAATACGAGATTTAGACCGTAAGTAACGGGATTTCGCATCTCGTACATTACGCGTTTCGAAACGTAAATTTCGCGCTAAAATCACGTAAATTACCAGGTCTAAACTCGTAATTTACGCTCCCTTTCTCGTCATGTACGACATTTCAATCATGTAAAATCTGTGATTGGGATCGTAAAAAAATTAATCCGTATATTTTTGAGAAATATTTTTCGAACTTTTCAGTTAGCAAAAATCCTACCAGCACACTAAACTTATTCCTGTTGGTATTTTCTCGACTTTTTAAATATAAACTGACCAAAAGAAAGAGCCGAAACGTTTCGAAAGCACACGATTCTTACACCGAGAGAAAAATACCCGAAAAATTACGGCACTTTCACGTATTCGTGGGGTGACCTTGCTTTTCGGGAAAACGTACTGGAGGTACCGTCAAACTGTCCTGAAAGTTTCTTCAAAATTCCTGCTCGCTACGAAAATTTTTACGGAACTTACAGTATTTTTCCCCAAAAACCAAGGTCACTCTACGACTACGCAGAAATAAATACATCGCGGAAAGTATGGAAAGTTCCGTAATTTTTCGAGTATTTTTTTCTCCGTGTAGGGACGCGTAACTAATAGGGCTCACTCGCTGTATTGTTTCCGCTTCAATCTGTTTTTCCAATTGAATAGACAAATGATAGAACCCTAAAGCTTAAAAACGAGCCCAAATCTTAAAACGATTTAATCAATTAATTACGGATACGATTAAATAACTATATATTATAATTTCGCAGATAAGATAATTAGATTATAATATTAGTCGGCGATAATTGTGCAACATTTGTTTTTCAATCAGTTTGTACATTTTCGTGAATTCTTAACTACAGGTAATAGAAAGATAGAAAACAAATAACTCCAATAAGCTCCCCATGTCCGGTGTGAATATCAGCGTAACTACGACGCACCTGCCATGAAACTCGACATTGAAGCCCTTGCACTTCTACCTTTATAACCTAATGAAATTATTCAAGCTCATGCGTTCTTCTTTTTTTCTGCAAGTCTTGTGCACTTCATTTCCTACCCAACTGGTACAACCACTACTTCTCCTTACATATTATCAATAAAATTCAACAAAAACTATTTTTTAAAAGAAATACAAAATCGTATCAGCGAGTAAAACCATGGAAGTCTTGATAGACTGTTATTTCGACCGTTTATTTGAAGAACTGGAGCGTGATTGTTTGGCCTCTCGTCACAAACGTTGTCAGCTCGTCAAGTATTTTTCTGACGTGATAAACAGTGTCTCAGAAGGTAACAACACAGTTGAATAAGGATAGAATAAGTACTGCACAAATATCACTCATTCGGAGAGAGCAAATATGAGAAACAATATCTTCAAGAGTTCCTTCGGAAATTTTCATTGGTATAAAAAATGAAATCAATCTTGAACATTTTCTTTGGAACAATATTTTTCTGAAATATTCTCGATGGAATAAAATGAAGAGACCATCTGGTTAGTTCTCGATTCTTGGAGAAACTATTGCAAGAGCGGTATCATAAACAAAAAATTGCCGCAAGAAAGTTTCTCTTATGGTTGCCTCCAAAACTATTAGATACTGACATTATGGCTTATTTAAACAATTTGTCGTATTCAATCGGTAAAGGTGCATCACTTACTCCGAGATTTCTATTTGATTACATTGAATTTTTTCTGCCTCTCTTCATAAAGCTGAGAATCTTGATGCCGACGATGTGTGCGAGAGGATTGTAAAATCGGCCTTACGCTACCACAACATCAGTATGTCGGAGAATGGTTCAATCTGCCTTCTGGGTAAATTCCACAATGTTTTATATGTCGCTGCTAAATTGTGTTATGACTGGTGTCTCAGTAATAATAATGTCGTATCACGTTTGTTAAATGACATTTACTATTGTGAAAAAACATTTGAGAGGATATTTGTTGGCGCCATATTTGGTGTAAGAGTTACCCATTTTTTGTCGGGTTGGAAGAGTGATTTCCAGGATAGGAACGAGAATATCCGGGGGCTTGTGTATTTCTTGGATCATGCTGTTAAAGGCCGATTAGAGTATAAATGTGAATTGGACTCGATGAAGCGGAGATTTATTGATGTGCCAATGGAATCATACGGTCAAGTCTTACCCCTGAGAGTCGCTGTTCAGCACGGAGCACCAGACATTCTTTTGGTTATGTTGCGTTATGGAGCATCTACGGAATCAGATAAACTATCACCGACGCCCTTAGAAATTCTATTGGCAAAATTGAATGAATATGAGACGGAGGATGAGCCCAATCGTGTTATCCCTGAAAATCTACTGGCCTGCCTAAGGTTACTACTGAGAACTGTTCCAGCTGGCTCGGTGAGAACCCCCAGCCACATTGAAGAAGTGTGTGGGGTCAAGAGTGTGACATTGTGGGAGCAATTTCCCAATTTGGTGGAGAAAAATTTCGTGAGGGCCGATCGGAGTGGATACTGTCCGGCTGAGTTGAAACATTTGTGTCGGTGTTGCATAAGAGAGTGTTTGTTTGAGAATTGGGCGCTACCGCATGGGATAAAAACATTGCAGATACCCAGAACACTACAAAATTATCTGGATCTGCTTTATGACTAAAGGCGATTATTAATCGGCTTCCTCTCTCTCTCTCTTATTCTCAAATCTTTACACACGGAGAAATGTCCTTGTGAAAGACGAGATTTAAAAACCTAATTCACGCCATTCATCTTATAATTCACGATTTTCACAAACGTCTTCGCGGAAATTTTGACATCTCCAAAATTCTACTTTTTAAAGGCAAAATTGCACAATTTCAATTAAATCAGTAAGTTTTTTAAAAATATGTCGACATCTATGAGAGATAGCACATTTATCCTCATTTTCGTAGAATGAAATAAGATTTACAAAGGTGGTCATGAGTAAAAACGCATCTCTCCTCGATTCCCAGATATTGTCAAAAAAAAGACTCACGTGACGGCATGTTTTTTATTTTTTAAAATGCAAAATTTTTAATGCCTATCACGCATGTACAATGTCATAATTTATGTTTTTAAAATCGTCATTTACGATCTCAATATTATTTAATATTCTTTCTTTTGAACGTATTATTTTTGGAAATATGGCCGAATTAAAAAATTAGGACGCCGCTAATCGGCAGTCTTTGTGAAATGCTGTGATCGTTAATATCTTTCAATATAAATAAAAATATTGAGAATTTAATTCGGTGGTAAACATGGGTCCATTTGTTCTACGTCCCTTGCGTATATGAATTATTACGAAATTTGATTTGGTAAATCTAATTTGAAAAAAAACCTGTTATAAGATTTTTGTAGCGAATGAGATAAGGTCTACAACAAATATTTTATAAATATTAGAGCTTAAGAATGCAGATGTATAGATAAGATGAAAGAATTAAGTCGAAATTCAAAGAAAACGCAAGGCTCATAACGGAGAAAAAAAAGGTCGACTGAACGCGTACAGTCTTCATTGAAATTCCGAACCAATCTATTTTCGTTAGCAACCAATCCGATTCTTCGATCAATCTTTTCACGAAATTGCTACTTTATCGTACGAAACGTTCATCTATTTTTCGGAGATTATGTTCGCAATCGATTAAACACTTGAATCAACCATGCGTGTATTTTGATTAAATAAAAGAGAATACGAAAATTATATTCAAGAGCGTCCATACTTTCATCAAGACTATCAGCTGGAGTAATTTCAGACTACAATCACGAGAAAAAAAGATGGAGTGACGATCAATTGCGCAAATATTTGATCCACACTTTTCTTTTGTGGTATAGGGTCGATCCTTGGTTGCGAGGAAAACAGCACACAAAGATCGCTGTATTCAAACTGTCCTATCAATTACAATTCTCTCTAATTTAGAGTTCCTTTCAGGTTTTTTGTGATCAGTAAACCGAATGAAGTTTTATCTGAAAACACACACATACCATTTACTCAATACACATCAAACAGTAACGATGGTATTCAAAACGTTAGCCATATAAACCGAAATACATAAGCCTCCTTTCACTTTGCTGATGTTATGAAGGGGTCGAATGTAATTTGTAAATGATTTTGAATCAGAGTATCAATTTCAATCGTCAAAACCAAGGGAAAATATAATTTATTTATTTTGGACATTATTTAAGGACACAGGGACACATGTTTATGGGAATAAATGTCAAAGGTTCTAACATAGGGTTCCAACTGTTAGTGAATTAAAAATAATGCATGAATAAATGAGACCACCATATATGAGGGCCCGACAACCTAGACTCACCAGGATCACACAGCTCTCGAGCTTCGTTAGTGAGAGCTGGGGAAGCGACTTCATCCACTTATCGAAGCTACTTGGTCTACTTCTATTTTTTCCCTCCTTGGGCCTTTGTTCGGTCGATATCGGCAGAGGGCGACCACTTAAATTAATTATTTTTTAATTGTTCAATTAAACAACTGGGAGGACGGTTTTCCAGATAGGATTCACTTGGGATCTTCTGTCCCTGTTGAGGTTGTTAGGATTTTTATGAATCTCTAGGCCTTCTCGGTGTTCTCTTTCGAAATACTTTTGAGACTTAGCCAAGCTTCCTGTCTGCTCATACGGAATGGTATGACCAGTCTTCATCCAATGTTCAGCCAGGGCAGACTGTTCTAAGTGACCATATTTGGAGCACCGCTGGTGTTCTTTGATCCCTCTACTGATCATTCTCCCGCTTTCGTCGATGTACACTCCTAGTGTGCTCAAGAGTGGTTTTGGATCCTTTGCACTTGGCAGCATTTGTCCAATCTTCCTGGGAGGTTGGAAGATGGTTCGGATGTTGTGCTTGCCGAGTACTTTGCTTATGCGGTCTGTTATGCCTTTTAATTAGGGAAGGAGGGCCACATTTTATCCTTCTTTGTTTTCTTCAAGCTTAGTCCTCCCTGGACGAGATAGGGGCTTTCTCTATTTTTTGTTTGACCGTTTTGCTTGACCTTTCTAATTTGATGGATATTATATCCATTCTTTGTCAAAGCAGCCTCAAGATGTTCAACTTCACTGTTGATATTAGATAGTTGGGAAATTGTGAGAGCTCTGTGCATTCGGGAGCTGATCACTCCTTGACTGTTCCACTCTGTCCCATTGCCAGTAACATATGAGCAGGAACTTACAAGCTGGCCAAGTTTCTTCCAAAACCTTTTCAAAAGTTGACTAGTTTGAATGGTTCATATATTCAGAACTCCCTGAATTTCGTCATTAGACTGACAAATCTTACGATTTCTCCAGATGATATCCCGATGAGCTTCGATATGGAATCTCTCTTTACTAATGTCCCGATCCCGGAAACCTTGGAAATCATAAAGAAATCCAAGGAAGCTTCTCCCCATCGCCTTCCTTGAATTGAGCACTGTTGAATTCGACCTATTTCCAATTTAGACGAGAATTCTATTAGCACAAATTAGAAGCATCAATGGGTCGATAAGTGTCGACCTCTAATGTCGACATTGAAGTTGAACATCTTGATGCTGCTCTGACCAAGAATGGATACAACATCCACCAAATTAGAAAGGTCAAGTAAAAACTGGTGAGAAAGCTTGTATCTCCTCCAGAGGAGACTAATCTCAAAGAGAACCAGGAAAGACCAAAATTGGCCCTTCTCCACTATTTAAAAGGCGCAACATCCGCACAATCTTCCAACCACTGAAGAAGAGAAGAGGGACAAATGCTGCCAAGTACAAAGGATCCAAAACCACTCGTGAGCGCACCAGTAGTGTAACAGATTCCCTGCTGATGTGGAAAAGGGTACATTGGAGAAACCACGAGAATGATCAGTACACCGATCAAAGAACATTAGGGGCAATCCCAGCTCTATCCATCGCTATTTCCATTATTAATGAAAACGGAAATTTAACAATTTTTTATTGATTTTTGTCATGAGTTGAAATTGCACAAGTATTGTTCATATCCCCCGAAACCGTGAAGTCAGTCAGTTTTAGTGGAGTTTAGAATGCTTATCAGAGTTATATGCATTTCCTCAACAATGACTATGAAGTTACGTCAGATCGCAGAATTTCGGAGATACTTTACTATATGTATTTTTCCCCTACACGGAGAGAAATATTTAGTAAAAATTACGGAACTTTCAGTTCACTTACCGATTACGGAGTTGATCCGAAAAATTTAAGTGACGGTATCGTTATTTTTCACCGATAATTCTGATAAAAATTACGGAACACCACGGAAAAATTCAGTGACTTTAGATAAAAATTACGTGACGGTTCCGTAAAATTTCTGACAACCACATTTCGCTCCAGAATTACGGAAAATACACGTAATTTTTATTGAATATTTCTCTCAGTGTATAGGAAGCGATAAATATATATAGTATATATATAAATTTAATTGATAGAAAAAAAATCGATTCTCACAGAAGGGTCGATCAAATGAAACTGAGGTGAATTGCATGGGGTGAGCGGGAGCCGTGGGGGGATCGTATTATGATCTTTGTGTGGCTCATACTAAACGCTTCCTCATGGGTAATGCAAAGTGCTGGCGAGATTTGTAGTGTCTCACCATACGTTCAATTTAGTAACTGAATTTATGTAAAATATAAAAATGTTATCTTCAAAAGCGAAAAGAAGCCGTAGGCAATTTGCTTCCGAACCGAAGCTTCCTAACGGTGAGCTTTCTTAAGTTGAAACGTAAAAATACAATATTTGAGCACCATGTGTTCACCATATGTGTAAATGATCAACTTGGTCCACCCTTTTAGAAAATTAAAAGAAGAAAGGGCTAAAGTTATTCTGAGAATGTTCAAATTTGATCAAATTATAGGTGTTACTGAAGACTAAGTCTCGTCCAAAATTCAGCTTGATTCATAGAGCTGTTTCCCATAAATTGTTGCTAGCAGAGTAACGTTGTGAAAAATTCATTCATTAACTTGAAATATTGCATCAGATTCCCTTTTGGCAATGAAATATTTAAAGTTTCTGCTTCTGCTTGTTTGAAATGAGTATGTTTTTGTTTATATTCACATACCTTAATTGGAACCAGACTCGCCACTTGGCCCATCCAATTTCATTGTAAAAAGTTACTAAATATATTTATCATATGGTTTGAAAAACATTTACCTGAAAAATTCAATCACAATACGCGACTTGCCAAGGCGGGCATTGCAAAATTCATCGGAAGAGTATTGTTTAGGCCTCATTACGTAAATTACTATTTCGGCGACAGTCGACTTAAACGGTTTTACAGCATCGCTACTGAATTAATTTGAATGAATGACGTCCTGATACAATATGAGCCACTTCTAATAAGATAAGTGCAAAAATAATTCACATTTGCATCATTTTTCAGATTTTTCAGAAAATAACTTAGAAGGTATAGAGTACGTTATTATGAAAAATTATTAAATTTTCTTCAAGTTTACCTATATGCGTCCTCTGAGACATTAATTTTTCCAGGTTCCCCGGTAGTTTCAGTTCTGCTTGTGAGATTGACAGTATTACCAAACAGGCAATAGCGTGGCATACGATGTCCTATAACCCCAGTAACGACCTCGCCACTGTGAATGCCGATGGTGATTTTCTGGAAATCAATCAATCAACTGAATGAAGGTTGGACTCATAAATGATCAGGTCTGGGTCTACTCCGGCCATCCTCGACAATCCAGAGCTATTATTTTTACTCTCCAAAGAGTCACTAATGTTGTCAAATACATTTTAGGAGACATGTGTATGGCTAAGGATTGGAAAAGTTACTAATTGTTGTTTAAGGTGAGAAGTATCAGTTTTGGATCAGTCTGTGGATACAGTTCAGAATCCAGACTGTTATTTCTTTATTGTTCATTCAGCTGTAAATATCGTTCAATCTATTTTAGACAATTTTGCGCTGACTTGGTACTTTGCTGGTATCTTGGCGCCTGAAGAATGTGCTCAGGACTATTGGACATTCGTAACGTAAACTGTTTACAACACAGATTTTTGTGTGTAATGCAGAAAATAAAAAATAAAAAATCCTCGGAACAGTCCTAATCCTTTGATCGAATTCCCAAAACACGGCCAAAATAATCACTTTCGCTTTGACAACTCCGACGGCTCTGCAACACTGAGAAACAACGAAACTCGACCGAAACCCCAGGAACGATCAGCAGCTCATCCAATCCTTTAGAAATCTGTCTAGCCGGACCGACCAACTACACGTAATTCCGGATTTAAAACCAAAAAATTCACTAATCATCTCCAGAATTCAATCGCGACATAATTTCACTCAGAACTCAGATGATCTATTTAGGTGTTAGTCTGGAAATAGTATATTCTCGGATTATTGAAATAAAGTGCTTTCCTCGTGTGAAATTGGCGTTCGGGCCAAAGGCGAGACCTAGCTAACCACACGAGTGAAAAAAAAGCCATTCCGAATTTTTTTTCAGCAGCCCCGACAATATTTGTCCATAGCGATTTTCAGTTTCCGAATTTGGTTTCTGATTTTCAGTTTCTGAGTATCTGATACCAACTCCCGGGTGAGAAATCGTGAGAAATACGACAGAAAAATGTTTTGCGAAAAAAATACATGTGTCGGCTGCAGGCATGAGAAATAGTGATTCGTAAGTGTTGATGGGTCAGATGAGGTATTCACAGTTGATCTGTAGTTAGTACATACCACTGGCTCGCCATCTATTTGGACCGCATCGGTAGCTAAGTCCATCATATCTAGGGCAAGTCTTGCGATACATCTAGCATGACTCCTGCAAGGCTCAGGCAGTCCGCTAACTGCCATATATTTGTCACCCACGGTTTCCACCTGCGTTAAACAATATTCTATATTACTCGTTTATGTATTTCTAAACTGGTGGCATCAGTTGCCCGCACACATCGGTTGATTGCTCATTAATTTTTCATACTGCTTCAACATATGCAGTACGAATAACATTGAGCGTGAGCGACACGTCATACTGCTGTCCTACGATTAATCATTTATTGTTACATCACGAAAATTCCCTTGACGTACCTTATAACGGTGTAAAACTTTAAGGAAAAAGTTAGTTACTCATAACAAAATGTTGTAAAATTTGTTTTATTGAACCAACTTCTCACTGCCAAAATGAATTGATAAAAACTCGACAAAACATGAAAAAAATTTATAACACAAAAAGCAACCGTTTCTATTCTCGTAAATTGTGAATGACCACTCGAAACCTGACCGATTTATTAACAAGAGATATCATGACTGTCACTCACAGTCACATGACGATCATATTTTAGTGACCTGACAGTTTTTGATGTCTGACTTGCATAGTCTATTATTACATTATTATTATTATTATTATTATTAATATTACCTTATAAACGTTTGGATTTTTCTTTGGATCCGTAAGAACGTCAAAGGCTATGTACAGCTGATTTAGCATATTAACAATCTTCATTGCGCCATTTGAGTCGGTATTAGCAGCGCAATATGCACCAAACCCAACGATACCGGAGAATAATAGTGTTACGCAATCGTATTTTTTAGCAGGGACAGGTCTCGAATGTCGCAGCTCACTTGCCACTGATATTGGTAGTACCGAGTACAGCAATCTGTTGAAAGTTACAGAATCAGAATTAACATAGGCTTCAATACATGACGGTGGAAAGTCGGCAGTGAAAGATGGTTACAAGTGAAGGAATGGAAAAATCCATCTCAGTACGGACGAGGAGAAATATACAAAGAGTTCGATATTTTTTCTTATTACTTTTCCTTTTTTTTGGGGAATTTATCTAAGATTTTACTTAGTATCGCTTAACCTTAAGGGTATCGAGGGTTATCATTTCAATATACATATGAGTATATATAAAAAAATTTCAAAATAAGAAAGAGAAAAAATTAAAAAATATATACAAAAGGATTCCACATAATTTACGTCGTTATTAAATTTAACAAATAAGGACAACAACGTCTAACAAAATCCTCTTAAAAATAGACGAATTTTTTAGTTTAACAGTTCTCTAAATGTGAATTTTTAAAATTTCTTTATCAAGCAACAATTCCTTCTATATTTTTTACCAGTTGTATTAAAAAAAAACTGTTTATCCCATATACTCTTGCGGTTCTTTACAATGTATTCCATTCCCACCTCTCAAGCCCCATACCGGATTTAAGGAACGGAGGGAAAAACCTAATTTGAGAGGAAAAACCTGCCCGGGTACAGTCGTCTTTTTGACTTGTCTACCGCTCGGTAGTGAAACTGAGATATCAGAGCGCTATAAAATTTGTTCGCCGGTTCCCGGACTCGAACCAGGATCATTGCCATGCTAGTCTAGCACTCTACATGCACGGTCACTACCGTCGATACCACTTTTAATATTTTCATCGCATTTTCTTCTATTCTGGAACGTTAATACTTGATTGTTTATATGAAAATATGTAATTAATAGCTTCTTTGACTTTTCACATTATCATATTTCGGATTTCGGGCGGGAAAGAGCGAAAGGAAGGTACGATTTGGAAATGCGAATTATAAAAATGAGAAAATATGAAAACTACACTTCGCTTTTTCTAGCGTGAAAGTTTTCTCTGCCAGTTTTCATATTTTCATCATATTATTTTCTATGCTATAAGCTCGAAGCTAAACTTGAAGCGAGTCTCTTCCATAACAGCGTATTTTTTAATGTCATTATATCCTTCTTTGGAAGACAATTATTGCAATCGAATATCGGGCGGTCCTAACGAAGAAAAAAATGAAAACAGAGAAATTGTATGTGCATGTATATAATATATTAAAAACAAAAATTGTGTATTTTAATTTGTTCGTGTCCAATGTGCCGTTCAAAAGTTATGAATTTTCGAATATTTTGAAATTGTGAGATTAGAGCGCTATCGGTTTCGACCGCGGGAGCCCCAGGATCCAACCCGGATCAGTGCGTACGAGTCTAGCACTCTTTTCTAGCACTCTAGCACTCTTCGCGTAGGTTATATATAGCTCTTTCTCGTGTACGATCATGGGAAACACTATGAATTTATTTAAGAAGCCAGCGAGACAATAAAATTGCAAAAAATTATTTACAGAAAGAATCGTATAATTAACATAACAGACAAAAATTGCATATTCAGCCAAAATAATTATATAAAGCATATTCTTTTGATTTTCGACTTCTAATGACAACTTCCACTTAAGCCTTAAGAGCGAGACGTGAGCGCATGAAACGCGAATCCTTTTCTGGTTGAAATGAAAAAAACCCTGTAAACCCATTTGTTTTCTACAGAAATTTATTCGGTGTTCAGATGATCCTCCTGACATCATTCATGAAATCAAATATGAATAAAACTGAAATCCAGACAGATAGAGAAGACGATTCTCACTCTTTCCCACTCCATTTCTATTACGCGCTGTATCGAATCAGCCGACTGCGGAAACTCAATTTTACCCTGAGCATTCGTGAAATCAGAAACTTCCTGCTGGAGATGGCGTTATATCCGTCGAGTATCTGTCGCCTGCCCAATCCCCTCATTTCACTATTAGGTATATGTAGCGAGCAAATTGGTGCATATTCAAAATATTTACCTGTCAGTTTTTTGCTTCTCTCCGTCTAATTCCCGGTATGTCTGCTGTAGCTTATCAGTAAGTAATTCGAGATTTCGCGTCAGTTTGTAATCAGCCTCAAATTGTTCAGACATCAAGACCAGATCTCGTGTAGCATCGTGAAGGGGTACGTCACTCAGATAAAGACCACGTCTGTCAAAAATCCCAGATCGTTATTACAACTTTGTTATTCAATTTTTGGTCTTTCTATTTATGGTCTTGCCCTTTTAGGCAAGTGCATTTAACTGAAAATTCCTAATGGAAAAGTTTGGAAATTTTCAGTACATCATTCTCATGTACTGGATGTAGTGATACTGGGTGGGAATATTGAATCACTGCATGACTCAATTTAGTTTCATCCAATTACGGATGACATCGGTACCAAGCAACAGGCAACTGTAACAGAAAGTCGCACAGTAGGGGTTGAAGAGGGGTTATTGAATTTGGTTATCAACGCTTGTTCAGAATATCACGGCTTTCCCTACGCCTACACATTGCCGCAGTTTGAAAAAAGATTGATTTTCATATATAGAACATTGAATTAAGAGGTTACTCCTAACATAATTTACGAATTCAGACCCTTTTTTCCAAATCCTCGCTGATGGGGTTAAATACTGTATAAAATATCTGAAAAATAAATAACAAATGTTGTTTTATTCAGAGAGGTGGTACTTTTGAAATTTCATATGAAAATGTAAAATAAATTCTCAGATAAATGACAGTTATCTGAAAAAAAAGGAATTTTCCTAGAAATTTTGATTTCCTACCAAATTTATCATTTACAAACCGATACGAACAGCGCAGTTGATAACATTATGAAAAATATGTTATATAGCTGGAGAAAAAATTTGTTATCAAGTTTTGGCCGACAATTTGTAATCGTGTAGAGTAATGGCAATTTAGGCATTTTTACCGAAAATTGGAATAAAAAAATAATGAATAATGGAGTTAAAAATGTATTGTAATTGATTTTCATATAAATGCCTGAATCGGCTCTACGCTGCACCTGAAATGCCAGATTGACGTTTTTTTTTGAAAATGTCTTTTTAATCTGACATAGTGATAATTAGTCAAGTGAATTCGATAACGTGAATGATTCAGCTTTTTAAACGACGTTGTCGATATCTCATCAACACTTTAGCAAGATGTACCCTATTCTAAAAAATATCACAGAACCTTTCGAAAAAATTGTGATCTCGTACCATAGGCATAAAACCCTATTAAACCCATTGCTCGGAATACAATACCCCAATTGCGTAAGGCCCACCCTACTCAGAGGGGCGGTAGCAGCGTGCACAAAGAGGGACGCTATTAGACGGAGAAAGTGCGGCACACTCTCCCTCAAAATTTGAAAAACCTTGCCGCCTACGCATTCAAATTTTCACCAATTCAATTTGGAAAATTCTTAGTTGTATTAGTTGGGGAATAATTGTTAAAATATCATGGTGCCGGAAATTGATTATTTCTTACTCGCTTTAATATTGAATAATTATTTCATAAAAACTTTAATAAAATATGAGATATCGGTTTTTTAAAAATTTAATCAATTAATTATTTATTTCAAGTTTAACTTATAAGTTTGAAATGTCTTGATCAGAAACTCTCAGAAAAAGATCATTTGAATCTGGCAAAAACAATTTCAGAGATATCGAAAAGGAATTCCTGAGGAAGAAGTTTTCTGTTACACTATTGGGTCTGACAGGACATATAAAAACAATTCAACAGAAAATATGATTAGACTCGCCAGATAATTCTGCTGACATTCTATTAGATTTCTATGAAAATGATATAAATTTGCGATTAAATTGAAAAAAAAATTTTTCAATAGAAATATTCAACAGAAAGCACTAGATTCGAAACGACTTGGATTTTTCTTTACAATTTAATCTATTTTACACATCAATTTCCCCTTCTTTACCTTCTGCAAGATTATATTCTGCAAGAAATTTTTCCTGAAATGATTTGTATGAACAAATTACCTTAAGTTAATTTATCCTATGAATCTATTCATTCTTCCAATATTCATATTGAAACAAATCCCAAATAATGGTTGGCCGAACACTAATGGAATTTTGATTTTCATCTATGATCATTTTTCAATTATTTTTGCTGGGTCACTTTCTGGAACTACTTTTCTTCTCATATACATATGCAAGGTCTTTACGATTTGTTCCCTTCCCACCCCCCGCAAGGGGAGAAAGCCTCATTTGAGGGAAAAAACTGCTTTGGTACAGTCATCCTTTTGACATGACTACCGCTCGGCAGTGAAATTGTGAGATTAGAGTGCTTTAAATTTTGACCGCGAATAGCGGGATCAAACCCGGATCATTGGCATGGTAGTCTCGCTGCTAGACTAGTTACTAGATTCTTCCCCTCAGATTTTGATAGGACAATTTCATTTTCTTCTTTCCATTTTTTATAGGCTTCATACACAAGAATGTATCCGTCAGTAGATTTGTTGGCAAGGTATCAGTTTCTGCAATTAATTGCGCTTCGGCTTCAAAATTTCTGTTCATTTCTTCTTCGTTCATGGTTTCATCAAATGGTATTTCGTTAATTTTTGAACATTCACTTTCTAATGCTTATCACTTTCTCAATTAGTTCCCGGGACAAATATTAGCACCGATTTCCGGTAAACATACTTTGAGGTTATCTCTCATGTATTAAGAATCAGTGCACGCACAAGTTTCTACTTCAGCTGATGTAGAAGGCATACGTGTAGCTTGACCAATGTGGAAAATTTTACTTAGTACCTCAAAATCGCAGCAGGAAGTACGTACTTGCGACCGAGGCATAAAGAAAAAGAATTACTGCACTTATAGATATCTGTATCTATAAAACCTACACAATCCGTATCTATAAAATACCGAAGAGTAAACGAAAATTGATGTAAAGTGCTTTTCATCACATGCATGGTTATAACAAGTCAGTGGATAGTTGTTTGTCCAGTGTAAACGAGGACATCTCATGATTGTTATTTTGCAACGCATTACTATATACTGGTGAAAAGCTTTTAGCCTTTATCGATTGAATTGACGGTGAAATGGGGGCATCCCACTTGAAGACGTCGAAGTTTCGATGTTTTCGATAAAAAACGAACCAGGAAATTGGTGCGACTTTTTCCAAGATCAGTCATTGCAAAAATTCCTTGATTTTTTCGAGTTGATAAATTTTTTTCGAACTTTCGGAGCAGAACTCAAAAATGATTTTACTGAGTTCTGATTTCCGAAATTTCCGGAAAAACAAACAATTTTGACCAAATATATGAGGAATCTTTCAAAAATTGTCTGGAAATAGCAATAGTACCATTTCTAGCTAAATTATGTGAAAAATTTTTGATTTCCCATCAGTCGGGGTCTTACTTGGATGGATATCCGCCTAGCCGTACGTTCCCGCATGGGATAGTTGTCATTAGTATGCGATATTAAACACTATAAAAATTGCAGAATGATGGTGCTGATCTAACCCATTATTAACGGCAAAAGTTCATATATTTTTATTAAATTCACATATTTCATTTTGACATTGTGACAATTGACATACAGAAAAGAAAAATAACAATATGTCCTAAACCAATCATCCAATCGAGCCCATTTTGAATAGGAAATATTTTATTTGGTCAGAACAGAAAACTTTATGCCAAATTTCAAGTTATTAGGCTGATGTTATAAAATCAGAGAAAGGGAACAATGAATTTTTTCGAGGAATATAAAAATTGAAATATCTTGAAAAGTTTGTGGGAAGACATATATATTCTAACTAATCTAGATAGAGGACATGAAGAGAAATATTTGCGAAAATAAAGAGATCAAATCAGTTGGATAGTTTCTGAGATACTTGCCAAAATCTATTCAGAAACAATCAGGAATTCAACACAGATCAAGTCAATATGAGGACCTAATTGATTGACACAAAAAATCAAATATCTGCAGAACTACTGGGTCGATGGAGCCCAGATGGAATACGAACCGTCCCTATCATAGGATGAGAAGCTTGTAAGAATTTCAAGATGAAATCTTTATTTTTGTGAAAGCTAGAGTGCGTACGACAATGTTCTGGGAAAAACAGAAAAGTGGGAATATTTCGGAAACTTTGTACCGAGAGCTACGTAAGTCCTGAATGATCTAGATGAAGACCATCGAGATGAACGTTTAAAAAAACAAAAATTAATTCAGCCCACTAGTTTCGTGAAAAAACGTTAAAATAACTAAAAATTTTAGAATTTTGATGTCCTTCTGTTGCCCAATTTTTGAAAAGTGATGAAAGGGGACACAGACATGGTCGCCAAACTTCGTATTTGTAAGTTTCAGATCATTCTACATCATTTCCAATAAAAATGAGACAATGTACAAATTAAACGATTGCAAAGTTTCCATTCGGAAGCAAGAATGGGCAATGAAATATCTGAAAGATCTTCAAATGGTCAATTGAACGTGGATCTGCTCACGGTGAATGAGATAAGTGCTATAAGTACATTTAGAAAATAATTACCTTGTAAGATCGTCAAGGTTCATTACGCTGGGGTAACACAGGAAGATTACTAAATCGGATTCTGGTATATACAGCATTTGACCCTGGAACAAAAGTAATTGAAAAATTTCTTCTATAAAACTCTCTCCATATACTAATACATTAAAATAAAAGGGCACAAATTTCGTAGTGAATGAATAGGAAGTTTGCAGATTTAGCTGAAGATGAGGTTCGTACTCGCATTCATTGAAATTCATTTCTGAGTGATCTATACGATTTTAGGTCAAGTCATGCAGAAGTTAAGTCTGCGCAGCATGCAATAAATTCGACTTATTGTTCGGTCGGACATAAAATGTGATCATAGTGGGCTGACGCGGGCTTATGAATATGGTGTTTATACATTTTTGGCTCATAAATTTTTTATGAAATTTTTGGCAAAACACCGAGGTTTGAACGAAAAATTGTCGAGGGAGACAAAACAGCTGGTGTTGTGTTTGTGAATTTCTTTTTCAACCCAAAATTAACCATAAAATCGATCTAGCTTATTGTTCGGTGTGAAAACTATTTTTCAACACGCATTGTTGAAAGGGCGAAAAGTCGATGGAATAATAATCAAAATGACGATCACTAGCGCTTAAATAAAATATTTATATTATTTATTAATTATATTTCCAATTGAAACTTAATTTTTACACCTCGACTCACTCAATAAAAGGTGTTTATGAATAGAAAAGGGCAAGTAGGGCAACTAATGTGGTAGACTATGCGGAAGATCAAAAGATAGGGTCTTGAATCTTCAGTCGAACTGATCTCGATGACCTCGTTGATAAAACTAACTTTGGAAAATGAGGAAAACTGAGAAAATTTGAGTAAATTGCGCTAAGAGTGCGAATAGGTGAAAATACTGGTAATTCGTCAATTATAAATTGAGGAAATTGAGAAATTGATCAATTTCGTGGAAAAATTTTCGGTAAGAGAAGAAAGGTAGGAGATACAGGAGGTCGGCGTAATTGGGTCGGTAGAAGAAATAGACCAGGAAAAAGGCCACACATCTAAAACGTGTTATAAACTCACTTAAGGTTGTTGTCGCGTAGAATTTTTTTTCGACAGTTTTCGTTAAAAATTTTATGGTGAATAGTTTGAAAAATTAGCAACAAAATGAGCCTTTTCCGTTTG